GGCCCCCCCCCCCTCGGACATAAGACGTGATTGGTCTATAGCAGGGCACAGAATTTCCACTCGCCCCCTCATAATTTGCGAGTGGAAATGAAGCCATTGAGTCCGGCACTCAACTCCTAGAGGGACTCCTGGACCTCCTCGGGGCGGCTTCTCTCCTCCTCACCGACATGATGACAGCGCTCCCTCCTCCGTCTGCCCCAGTACAGTACAGAGGCTCCTCCCCATTCAGAACCTGCTGATAGTAAATATGAATGGGGGAGGAGCCTCTGTACTGAGAGCTTCCCATTCGCTGAGTGCTGAGGCTGCTGAAAAAGACATTGAGGATTTGGTGCCGTCAATTTATTTTCTGTTTTAAAAGTGAAACGTCCGGAGGGTCTGTTTGGACCCCTAATATTTCCCCGAAGCCCCTCCCCCAACAGTAAAAAAATAAACTAAAATTTAAAAAAATTATAACAAAACATTAAAAAAATTATTTTAAAAAAGTGAAAACTGTCCCCCCCCCCCTCCACACACGCATATTATTAGACATGTGCGAAGACTAAAAATGAATTTCAGACGAATGTGTAATGCCCTGTGTGTAATGCCCTGTGTGTTGTGCTGTGTGCGTGTTGTGCCCTGTGTGTTGTGCCCTGTGTGTTGTGCCCTGTGTGTTGTGCTGTGTGCGTGTTATGCAGGGCAACTGGTGGCGAGTAACTTTGAAGGCCCGGCTAGTAGCTCAGGACCTGACATTTTGAGCCCTGGTCTATAGGACGGCCCATCATAGGAGGAGCCGTGACGTACACTCTGAGGATGAATCACGCCGCAGTGGCTGCCGCTACAGAGCTCAGTGAGGGCGAAATTACATCATTTACTGCGTGTGATAATATCCAGAGCTGGTCACATGTCTAGTCATAGGTCATACATCATAGGTCATACGTCATAGATCATACATCATAGGTCATACATCATAGGTCATACGTCATGCATAATACCTCACATGTCATACATCATATGTCATACATCATATATCCTAATAGGTTGGGCGTATGTCTTTATTCAACCTCAAATACTATGTAACTATGTACATCATGGGTCATATGTCATACATCACATGTCATACATCATAGGTCATACAACATACGTCATACATCACATGTCATACATCATAGGTCATACGTCATACATCATAGGTCATACATCATATGTCATACGTCATAGGTCATGCATCATACCGCACATGTCATACATCATACATCCTAATCCTAATAGGTTGGACTTGTTGGACTCTAGTCTTTATTCAACCTCAAATACTATGTAACTATATACATCATAAATAATGGGTCATATGTCATACATCATGGGTCATACATCATAAATCATGGGTCATACGTTATACGTGTGCGTGTGTTTAATAATAAAATAGTTGTAGAACTCCGGCCAAAATAACAAGATAAAAAAAAAAATAAAACCAGCTTTTCACTGCAATCTTCCTGGGCCCGCCCCCAGCCTGTGATTGGACAGTGAAAGGAGAAGCAGCACAGTGATGAGCTCATCTTTGTCACTCTGCTCTCTCCTCCTGTCAGCATGCTTCTTCTGTACTTGTCTCCTAGGGGGGCACTTCTGATAGATTGGTACTAACCCCCTCTTTCCTGTTCCCTGCTTAGGAACGTTGGTCCCTGTGTTGGTCCCTCCGGTGGTCTGGCTGGAAGTTGGATATTAATGCTCCCGGGAGGCGGAGCTTCTGTGTGGACGGACCTCCTGCCATGCTGGGGCTCTCCCCTGCGTCATGCTTCTCCTGCAGATCTTCAATCTAATGGCCCCCTTTTACTTCCTGTGCCTCCTCGCCGTGACCTTCTGCCTCCAGGTCTTCTTCTTCCTCCCGGGGATGTGTGAGGGGCCCTCGGTGCCGCTCTCCGGCCTCCTCCACTCCTCCATCTTCTTCTTCTTCCTCATCAATGTTGTTGGGAATTACATCCTGGTCATCTGGAGGAGCCCCGCCCCCGGGGGACACGGGGGAGGGGCAGAGAGGCAGTTCTGCTGGATATGTGTGCGGGTGATGGGCGACCAGGACCACCATTGCTTCTTCACCGGGACGTGCATCGGTCGCAGCAACCTGCGCAGCTTTGTCCTGTTCTGCCTCCATGCGTCCTGCAGCTGCTTCCACTCCATGCTGATGGGACTCGGCTACATCTCCAGCAACTTCTCCCTGACCTTCTCTGACCCTCTGGCCTTCCTCAGACTGCTGCCTCTGTCCGTCACACGCTTCTTCTCAGGTCAGACACCAATCCCGCTCTGAGGACGCTCTGCCCTCGCTGGGGCTACTACTGGACCATTGTAGGAGGCGGGAAGCCCCCGGGGCAAGAAGGCACCAAACATTCTGCCCCTTCTGGAGGTCAGGGAGGACAGGGATAGAGAGGTCAGGGAGGACTAGGATAGAGAGGTCAGGGAGGACTAGGATAGAGAGGTCAGGGAGGACTAGGATAGAGAGGTCAGGGAGGACTAGGATAGAGAGGTCAGGAGGACTAGAATAGAGAGGTCAGGGAGGACTGGGATAGAGAGGTCAGGGAGGACTGGGGTAGAGAGGTCAGGGAGGACTGGGGTAGAGAGGTCAGGGAGGACTTGGATAGAGAGGTCAGGGAGGACTTGGATAGAGAGGTCAGGGAGGACTAGGATAGAGAGGTCAGGGAGGACTAGGATATAGAGTTCAGGGAGGACTAGGATAGAGAGGTCAGGGAGGACTAGGATAGAGAGGTCAGGGAGGACTAGGATAGAGAGGTCAGGGAGGACTAGGATAGAGAGGTCAGGGAGGACTAGGATAGAGAGGTCAGGGAGGACTAGGATAGAGAGGTCAGGGAGGACTAGGATAGAGAGGTCAGGGAGGACTAGGATAGAGAGGTCAGGGAGGACTAGGATAGAGAGGTCAGGGAGGACTAGGATAGAGAGGTCAGGGAGGACTAGGATAGAGAGGTCAGGGAGGACTAGGATAGAGAGGTCAGGGAGGACTAGGATAGAGAGGTCAGGGAGGACTAGGATAGAGAGGTCAGGGAGGACTAGGATAGAGAGGTCAGGGAGGACTAGGATAGAGAGGTCAGGGAGGACTAGGATAGAGAGGTCAGGGAGGACTAGGATAGAGAGGTCAGGGAGGACTAGGATAGAGAGGTCAGGGAGGACTAGGATAGAGAGGTCAGGGAGGACTAGGATAGAGAGGTCAGGGAGGACTAGGATAGAGAGGTCAGGGAGGACTAGGATAGAGAGGTCAGGGAGGACTAGGATAGAGAGGTCAGGGAGGACTAGGATAGAGAGGTCAGGGAGGACTAGGATAGAGAGGTCAGGGAGGACTAGGATAGAGAGGTCAGGGAGGACTAGGATAGAGAGGTCAGGGAGGACTAGGATAGAGAGGTCAGGGAGGACTAGGATAGAGAGGTCAGGGAGGACTAGGATAGAGAGGTCAGGGAGGACTAGGATAGAGAGGTCAGGGAGGACTAGGATAGAGAGGTCAGGGAGGACTAGGATAGAGAGGTCAGGGAGGACTAGGATAGAGAGGTCAGGGAGGACTAGGATAGAGAGGTCAGGGAGGACTAGGATAGAGAGGTCAGGGAGGACTAGGATAGAGAGGTCAGGGAGGACTAGGATAGAGAGGTCAGGGAGGACTAGGATAGAGAGGTCAGGGAGGACTAGGATAGAGAGGTCAGGGAGGACTAGGATAGAGAGGTCAGGGAGGACTAGGATAGAGAGGTCAGGGAGGACTAGGATAGAGAGGTCAGGGAGGACTAGGATAGAGAGGTCAGGGAGGACTAGGATAGAGAGGTCAGGGAGGACAGGGATAGAGAGGTCAGGGAGGACAGGGATAGAGAGGTCAGGGAGGACAGGGATAGAGAGGTCAGGGAGGACAGGGATAGAGAGGTCAGGGAGGACTAGGATAGAGAGGTCAGGGAGGACTAGTAATGGGGCAGACGCACCTCACTGGTGCCGGGACTAGAAGCGGTTAAGTCGCCTGGCTGTTCTGTGACATTGATAAACGCTGCCCCAGTTTTGCGCCTTCATATGACAATGACACACGGGGCCCCAGCCAGGAGCCGGGCTCTATTTATAGAAGTGGGGGTGGGAGGGGCTGGCTCCTGGCTGCTCCGCATGTCTGTCTCATCTTCTCACCCCTCTGTCTTTGTTGCTGATCACAGTCCACCGCAGACCTCTCTCATGTCCCCCCTAAGGGTTGTCACCTCTCCGGGGTTCCCCCGCACAGTCCGGGTTTTGGATGCCGCGTCCGGGTTTCATGGCGGCTGAAACCCGGACACAAGATGTCAGG